ACCATAGTTCTTGCTAGTTAACCATAGTTCTTGCTAGTTAACCACCGGTGGCCTGGTGGCTAAAGCTCCCGCTTCACACATGGAGGGCCCGGGTTCGATTCCCGGCGGGTGGAAACATTTCGACACGTTTCCTTACACCTGTTGTCCTGTTCACCTAGCAGCAAATAGGTACCTGGGTGTTAGTCGACTGGTGTGGGTCGCATCCTGGGGGACAAGATTAAGGACCCCAATGGAAATAAGTTAGACAGTCCTCGATGACGCACTGACTTTCTTGGGTTATCCTGGGTGGCTAACCCTCCGGGGTTAAAAATCCGAACGAAATCTTATCTTATAGTTCTTGTGAAACATAGTTTTTGCTAGTTAACCATAGTTCTTATGAAACATAGTTCTTGCTAGTTAACCATAGTTCATGCTAAACATAGTTCTTGCTAGTTGACCATAGTTGTGCTAAATATAATTCTTGCAAGTTTAGTTCTTGCTAGTTAACCATAGTTCTTGTTCAACATAGTTCTTGCTAGTTAACCATAGTTCTTGCTAGCTAACCATAGTTCTTGCTAGTTGACCATAGTTCTCATATTAGGAAAAAATTTAGAGAGTACTTCTGAAGAAATGTTGAAACTGATTAATTTTATGAGCCAAAATATTGATGAGAGTGATTGCCTCTTTACCGAGTATGAATTAGATAATGCATTAACCAAAGGTCGATCAACTGCTCCTGGAGAGGATGGTATAACCTATGATATTCTCAGAACTCTAAGGCACGTGCCTGATAACCCTTTGTTGGCACTGTATAATCTCAGTTACATTGAGGGCGTTCTTCCTACTTCCTGGACCAATAGTCTCATTGTGCCTATCCCTAAGCCCCAACAGCCTGATACATTTAGGCCGATCTCCTTAACTAGTTGTCTTTGTAAAACTTTTGAAAGAATGATGCTTAACAGACTGTACTACAGAATCAGACATCAACTTTCCCCCTACCTCTATGGGTTCATGAAAGGTAAAAGTGTGCAGAACTGTATTTCCACCTTTCTCACTGCACACACCTCTACTAGTTTTACCACTTTTCTTGATCTAAAATCTGCATTTGATATTGCGAACAGAACCGTTATACTACATGAACTAGCCAAAATGAATATTGGTGGTAGCTTACTCTGCTGGATAATAGGATACCTGTCAAATAGAGTATCCTCTGTCCTTTACCAAGGCTTCAGAAGTGATTCTAAAGAAATGTCTTTAGGTACACCGCAGGAGGAGTTCTTAGTCCCATGCTATTAATATTCTGATTAATGCTCTCCTAAATGCTCTACCTGCCTCACCTAAACATATAGCTATAAGCTATGCTGATGATATCATGATCCATACAACAGGGCATAAGAAGATGAATACCATTCTTAATGAAGTTCAAGCAATTTGTAATCGACTAGGCCTCATAATATCTTCCTCTAAAACTAAGATATTAACAAGCAAACGACATCCCCCACCCATCTATTTGCAGGGTGAAAATCATTAGCTACGTTAAAACTTACAGATATCTTGGTGTAGATGTACCCTTTAACAAATCCACTATACCACAACTAAACAAGAAATGTAAAGCTAGGCTAAATGCTCTCAAAGCTGTTGCTGGCTACAATCCCAACTATGGTGCAAATGTGAGAATCGTGAGAATGATGTACAATAGCCTATGTTAGGTCCTTAATTGATTATGCCCGCTCCCATGTTGATATTAGCTAGAGAAAGTTCTCTCCGACCCTTGGAGTTAATGCAAAATGAAGCTCTCAGGATTATTCTTGGCTGTCCCAGATCTACAAAAGTTCTTAACATGAGGAAGGAGCTTGGTATTTCTAGTATCAGTGATAGGATGTTGAAATTAACACTGTACTCGGTATTAGAATGTTGAGAAACGAACCAGACACTGTCACAGTGAATCTTACCAAGTGTCTAGAGGTAAATACACACAGATCTAAATGGATTGTGAAAACGTGCAATTGCATTAAGTTTTATAACCTGCATGAACTGTATCACTGTAGGCAACAAGAGCATTTCACCCCTCCATGGAAGATGTGTTCATTTAATATCACATACCTACAAGTTCCTCCCAAGAAGCTCATTGCTAGTAATCCCTTCCTTAAATCTCTTGTTAGAGCAACTGCTCAAGAAGAAATTTCTCACCTAGCTGGTAGTAACAAGTTATCACAAGTTATATACACTGATGGATCTAAACAGGAGTCCCTTTTGGCAGGGCTGCATCTGCTCTTGTTGCCACCTCCCTAGTTAAGAACGATAATAAATTTGTTGAGTTAGGCATAAGAATTAACAACTGGGCGTCTACACTGCAAACTGAATTGTTTGCAATCCCAATGGCGCTAAAGCTAACCTATGACACTGAGCTTGACTCTATCATCATTACTGATTCTATGTCATCATTGAAGGCTCTTGGCTCATATAATGACTCCAACAACATGCTCATTGGGGAAGGCAGGTATAGATACTCAAAAATTAGGGAAAAAGGAATTAATGTACAATTGCTATGGATCCCATCACACATTGGGTTACTCCTTCATGATAAAGTTGATATGTTAGCCAAGAAGAGTATGGAGAAGGAGAATGTAGAATATAACTTTGGTATAACTGTGTCTAGCATTAGGAATAATATTAGGAGAGAAGTAAATAATGAAAATGATTGTTATAGGAATGCAGTTAGAAGCCTGAGTAGATCTATAACCCACTATGATAACATGAACGTAGATAAGTATGTTTATGGAGCAACTTGCAATGTGAACAGACTGACTGATGTTGTAGTGGCCGGGCCTTAGGCTTGGTTATAAGTACTTCTGGCGTTTGGGAGACACACAATGATGACAAACTAAAGTAAATTATGTGATCACTATGGCATTCTCTTGAACACTATGTCTTAATTGTCCACTATTGGGAAATACAGAGACAGACAGTAAAATAACCTATTTGACATAAAGATATCTTATTAATGAAAATAAAAAACCAATTTTCTAAGAAAATTTTCCCAAAATTTGCTTGTAACGATAAGTGAACTATAGAATTAGAAAAATCCATATGTTTTCTTTTTAAACCCCCTTTGGGCCAGTTCCTGGGCCTTTTGTGTACCATACTCTCGGCGCTACCGTCCACAGGATGGATATGGGGTGCAAAAATAAACTACCACTTCGGTGGCAAAAATCTAATCTTCTGCTAAAAAAATTTCTTGCAATTAGCCAAAATTCTGAAACAAGTTTTTGCTAGTTAACCATATTTTCTTGTAAAACGTGGTTCTTGCTGTTAACCATATTCATGCAAACAAGTACTTGCTAGTTAGCCAAGGTCTTGCGGGTTTAAACCCATAGTTCTTGCTTTAAACCATAGTTCTTTTTAACATAATTCTTGTAGTTAAGCATGTTCTTGCTAAACATAGTTCTTGCTTTGACCAAATTTTCTTGCTAGTTGACCATATTCTTGTTAGTTAACCTATTTTCTTGCTAGTTAACCATAGTTTTTCTAAACAATTCTTGCTAGTTACCATATTTTCTTTCTAAACGTATTTTCTTGCTATTAAACCCATGGGTTTTTGCTAAAATAATTTTTGCTATTTTAACCATAATTCTTGCTAAACATAATTCTTGCTAGTTAACCATTGTAATTGTTAAACATAATTCTTGCTAATTAACCATAGTTCTTGTATTTTAACCATAGTCTTTTAAACATATTTTCTTATTTTTAACCGTTATTGCAAACATAATTTTTGCTGAACATGGTTTTTGAGTTAACCATATTATTACAAATATAGTACACAAATAACCCGCACATAAAAGAGAGAAGCTTACGACGACGTTTCGGTCCGACTTGGACCATTGACAAAGTCACACTAACAGAGGGGGAGCGGGGGGCTATAATAAGGCAGGAAGAGGGGGAGGTAGTAGTAGATAGTAAAGAATTTTATTAATACCGAAGATGAAAAAGACACATGCACAACACCCGGGGTGGGATAAAACAAAAAAAAAAAAACCAGGAACGCCCCCACATGGCAATTTTTACAAAAAGAAAAAAAGGTAGTGTTTTGGGTAGAATGGGAAATAAGGGAAACACATCAAAAACAAAGGAAGGGGACACTGTTATCGTTCCAGTCCGGTATTGTCCTTTTTTTATTTACGAAAAAATATTTCGCTATTAACCAAATTTATTGAAAACAAGTTCTTGCTAGTTTAACCCCAAATTATTATAAACATGTTTTTTGCTAGTTTTAACCCTAGTTATTGATAAACATAGTTCTTGCTATTAAACCCAAATTATTCTAAACATATTTTTTTGAATTCAAGTTCTTGTTATTAACCATAGTTCTTGTTAGTTTAAAATGTTTCTTCTTTTAACCATAATTCTTGCTAGTTTACCATAGTTTTTGCTAGTTAACCATAGTTCTTACAAAAAATTCTTGCTAGTTAACCATATTTTTTTGCTATTAACTAATTCTTGCTAAACATAGTTCTTGCTAGTTAACCATAGTTTTTTGCTATTTTCATAGTTCTTGCTAGTTAACCAATTCTTGCTAGTTAAAAAATTCTTGCTTCAGAGTTTTTTTGTAAGCTTTAAGAAAAAATATTTTTTTACAATGATTTTTAAGGGGGATGGATGGTATGGATACATAAAAGATACATTACTGCCCAAATACTTTATTAGGTCTGTTAATTTTTAAACCCAGATACCCAAAATTCGAGTAATGTGGCACTTAAGTCAGGGGAGCTAATAAATGGGTTTTCTAATTTAATACTTTGCTTTGCAGAAAGTAAGCTTATTTAGTCATAGATACACCTGTACAGTTATCATATAGTGTAAATTATCTACCATAACCCAGAAAATAGGTCAAACAAAATGGTTTATACCTGCCTGAAATTCTTTGCATTACAAGGGACTTTTTATAATGTAGTTATGTATACTGTATATAATATACATACTGTACTCGTTCAATTTTGATAAACATAATTCTCCTCCTACAGATCCTCTGAAGTTGGGTTCAAATGGTCACATCGAACAACCTCTACATTTCCGCAAGGATCCAAGTCAAGCACCCGAGTGGATGATCAGTACTAATGCTAAGATTCAACAGGCCAATGCCTTCATCATTGTGACACCGGAGTATAACTGTGCACTGCCTCCTGCACTCACAAGTATCATGGATCAGTTCCCACCAGCATCTTACAGACACAAGCCATGTGCCATAGTAGCTTATTCCTTAGGTAAGCCCTTTAGTCTTAGGATAATATACTGTCTTACCTCTTTGGTGCTTAGTAGTAGTATTTTAACACACCAGCAGTCTCCCACCGAGGTATGGTGACCCAAACACTTTCACCATCATTAATTATCACTGTCTTGTCAGAAGCATATGGATACTACAGTTCAGATACCCTGCCAAATTGCAATATCCTCACCTATCCTTCAGAGTGCAGGCACTATACATTCCCACCTCTAGGACTCAGATTCAGCCAACCGGTTTATCTGAATCCCTTCACAAGATGTTACCTTCCTCACACTCTGAAGTCCCAAAAACCATTTGCCTCCACTCCGAACATGCTCACACACACCTGCTGGATGTCAAAGCCCCTCGCTCACATAACTTCCTTTACTCTTTCCCCCTCCAACTCGCCTTCCCTCCACTACAGATTTATACACTCTTCAAGTCATCCTATTTTGCTCCATCCTTTCCAAGTGTTCAAACCACCAACAGCCCCTCCTCAGCCCTCTGCATAATACATTTAGCAAATCCACACCTCCTAATTTCCAAGCTAAGAATTCTCTACATTACGTATATTCACACCACACATTGCCCTCAGACATATCTCCACTGCCTTCAGCCTTCTTGTTGCAACATTCACAACCTATGCTTTGCACTATGCTCTCACTCATTTCCCATTTTGCCTCTATGGATAATATTCTGTCTTCACAGATCTCTCAGCTCACCACTCACCTTTTTACCCCCTCATCAACTCTGCAGTTCACCTCGTCTTTCATAGACCCATCTGCTGACATGTCCACTCTCAACTGTCTGAACACATTCACTTCCTCCATACTCCCACCTTCCAATCTTTTATTACCTAAATCATTTGTTACCCTCATCATCATGTTCTTTACTGTATTCACTATTAATTACCTTCTTTTACATACTCTCCCAAATTTGTCCACCAACCTTTGCATCTTCAGAATCTCAAAAGCACAGTGTCATTGGCCAAAAGCAACTGATAACTCCTATTTTGTATTAGATTCTGCATATTTAAATCCCACACTTTTCCCAATACCCTAGCATTCACTTCTTTTACAACCTTTCCTATAAATATGTTAAACAACCATAGTGACATCACACATCCCTGTCTAAGGCCTACTTTTACTAGAAAATAATCTCCTCTCATACATTTCTTAACCTGAGCTTCACTATCCCCATAAAAGCTTAACTACATTCATCTACCCCACCACCTATTCCATACACTTGCAACATCTGCCACACTGATCCTCTATTCACCCTATCATATGCCTCTTCTAAATCCACAAATGCAACAAAAACTTCCTTACAATTATCAAAATATTATTCACTTGTGTGCTTCAATGTAAAACTTGGTTTACATGTTATTCCCATTATATTTCCTACAGCATCCTTCAGACACGAGTTAGGTACTGTTCTCGCTTATTTCTTATGTCAACCCTTAATTTTGTGATGTATGTATTATCATACTTTTTTTGTAATATCTTTTATTCCTGTAATATTTTTTTTACAATTTGAGGCCTATCCAACAACAGACAGTAGGGCCAGTGATCACTGCAATCATTACCAGGTATATCTTCGTATGTAGGACTTTTGAAGTATACATTACAATCAGCATCATCAGATAACATTAGCCCAACATTTGAGTACTTCCACCAGGTCTGAAAACACATTTGCATTTTATACTCAGGATATGATTTTTAGCAGGACAGTGTATAGAAGTCTTTTGGTAGCTTTATAATATGAATTATACCCATCATGAGGGGCTGAAGTCACACCAGACCCATCAGACACACAATGAATCCAGGGACTTATCACCTACAGTCCTCTCAAGGAAGGTTCCTTGATGTTGGTGAGGGGCTCTTGATTTAGGGAATTGGATCTGTGCTCCAGTTCCCCGAATTAAGCCTGAATGCCTTCCACATCCCCCCCCCAGGCGCTGTATAATCCTCCGGGTTTAGCGCTTCCCTTTGATTATAATAATAATAATAATCACCTACAGTGATAAGTGGTACCTCGGGATATAGTAATGTGGGTCATTTATGTTTATGACACTGTAAGTGTTGAGGTTAAGGTTCAAAGAAATACTGCATCATTCGCAAAGGTATTATCAACACTTATGAAGGATAACATGTTAAACTTGATGGAGAGTTGACATCACATACTTTTAAATGTCAGTTCCTACCACCAGGTGCATCATTAAGGCTGCATCCCACTTCCACACTTGTCGAGTAAACCTTGATCCCTAAATAAAGGATTTAAGTCAACTTTATTTAGTGTATATACTTGAGGAGATAACTCAACCTATATTTATCCTGATGATAAATGAGACACTTGTGCAACATTTGGGTGTCTTTATTCTGGAAACATTTTGCCACTCAGTGGCTTCTTCAGTCCATTGCAGAGAAAAGTGGAAGATGATGAATTTGAGGTAATCAGTTCTTCAGCCTGGAGTTGATGTGTTCAGTCCATTAATCTTAACAAAAGTGCAGCATACTCGTGAAAATGGAGCTTACGTACTGATGACAAATGGGGTGGAGCAGTGGTAGCTGGAGTCACCAACGTACAAAACCACTAGTGCATGAGATCTCTTCTCTCAGGTAACCCCCACCTTCACTGCCAGCTCATCCCCATCCTAGTAATATTTTAATCAGAACTAAGCATTAAAGCCACAAGGGTCATACAACACTCCCCAGTAATAAACATGCAGATTTAAACATCTGGTTATGCTTGAAGACTATGTAGCCATACCAAACCTGGTGTTCCTTTAATTTCCTTTTTTGGTTAAACTTATTTATTTATAGGTTTGTGTAACCCATCATGACTTTAGATAAAAAAAATGTGAGTATGGTCTGTGGTGTGACTACTGTTGTCAGTCACTTGTCTACTGGCATGAATAATCTGGCATGTTATCAACTAAGACTCTAGTACTTCTTGTTTCTCAAACTGACTCAGTTGTTAGTACAGTTATAATCATGAAGTGCTTGACCCTTAAGTCATACAGTCCCTGGGAAAAGGGTGATAATCAGGCTTGATACAAGGAAGGGCAGGGTAGCTTCAGTTCCCTGAATCAGGAGCTCTTTAGTATTCTTCTTATATAAATCTGCTGCCCAAATAGATAATAATAATAATAATTTTTATTTGGACATGATACATAGTTGTACAAGGAATTATAGTGGTTGGGTATACATGCCAAAACCCCCTTGTATGCAGAGCATTATGGGCAGGCTTAAAATTAACTTAAGATTAAATATGCAATGATATATTCAGTGGTAAAAATTACAGTAAACAAATTACAACATGAAGTACAGATAGCTAGTAGTTAGTGAAGCTGTAGGTTACATCTTAGAGGATGCAAATACCCCTAATGGGAATTAGCCCCACTGGTTCTTGGATTAACCTGGGTTATTAACCAGTTAGCTGGACTCGAGTCCTGGATGTGAGAAGTACAGCGCCTGCACTCTGAAGAAGTAGAGATATGTTACAGTTTTTGAACTCTAGTACAGTATCTGCATGCCTCTGGCAAGACAGTGATGGAGAGAATGGTGATAAAAGTGTTTATTCTTTTTTGGGTCACCCTACCTCAGTGGGAAATGGCCAATGTATTAAAAAAAATTTAACCCTCCAGAGTGAAGAGTCTGAATAAAAAGTCTTATTTAACATTGTATATGAGAGGGCCCTGCTTATACAGTAGGTTAGGTTCTGGGATACTGCTGTAAAGCAAAAATTGCTGTAAAGTGAAACATAGCTTTGTTTCACTTTCAAATACATATAAAAGTCTGATAACATGTTTAAGATAAGATTTTGTTTGGATTTTTAAACCCGGAGGGTTAGCCACCTAGGATAACCCAAGAAAGGCAGTGCGTCATTGATGGACTGTCTGTCTTATTTCCATTGAGGTCCTCAATCTTGTCCCCCAGGATGTGACCCACACCAGTCGACTGACATCCAGGTACGTACTTGCTAGGTGAACAGGACAACAGGTGAAAGGAAACATGTCAGATGTTTACACCCTGCCAGGAATCGAACCTGGACCCTCAGCATGTGAAGAGAGAACTTTTCCTACCAGGCCACCTGAGCTTATATTTATTGTAGGAAGTCTGAATTAATGAAGAATGGGTATAATTGAAAAACCACTGCATTAGCAAGGTGTTGTAAAGTGAAGCACTGTAAAGCAAGGCCCTCCTGTACTGCAATGAGTATTTCCACCAGTATTGAAGCTTTCTTGCACTGATATTTTGCTAGGAATGTAACTTCCAGCACAGTTAATTTTCTTACACTTTAACATTACGAACCACAGCCTGGCTGGTCAGGTGCAGTACTGACTTTAGGTGCCTGTCCAGTGCCTTCTTGAAGACAGCCAAGGGTCTATTGGTAATTCCCCTTATGTATGCTGGGAGGCAGTTGAACAGTCTTGGGCCCCTGACACTTGTTATGTTGTCTCTCATTGTGCTCATGGTGCCCCTGCTTTTCATTGGGGGAATGTTCCATCTCCTGCCCAGTTTTTGCTTTTGTAGGGAGTGATTTTCGTGTGCAATTTTAGGACTATTCCCTCCAGGATTTTCCAAGTGTATATTATCATGTATCGTACTTGCTTGCATTCCAGGGAATACAGATCTAGGGACTTCAACCGTTCCCAGTAATTTAGGTGCCTTATCATACTTGTGTGCCATGAAAGTTCTTCGTACACTCTCCAGGTCAGCAATTTTGCTTGCCTTGAAGGAGGCAGTTAGTGTACAGTAGGAAAGGGGGACAAAAGAGATTGTAAAAATTATAGGGGAATAAGTTTACTGAGTATACCAGCTAAAGTGTATAGTAGGGTTATTATTGAAAGTATTAGAGGTAAGACAGAGAGCAGGATTGCAGATGAGCAAGGATGAGCAAGGGTAAGGGATGTGTAGATCAGGTGTTTACATTGGAGCATATATGTGAACAGTATTTAGATAGGTGGGGAAGTTTTCATTGCATTTACGGATTTAGAAG